CTTAAAAAAAATAATGTTCACAATACGGTAAAAAATAATATAACATGAACAATAAATATATTTTTTGTGCAATAGTAATTTATTGTATTATTTACTATAGCATGGCCGATAAATCGGTTTCATTTTTAAGTATAGAGAAGTAGCGGTGTTAGAATATGCTCGGTATCAGATTGTATGCTTTGGTCACTAATTTGTTTGAACGCGTTGTGAGTTGCGTGATGATCACACGACTTAAACTAATCTTGTCCACTGTACGTATTTAGGACAAATTACACTAAATCCCTACGAATTTTCGGCGTTTCGCAGTAAGCACCTCCAAAATTACACTAAACTCCTGAGAACTTCTAGTGTTTTGTAGTATACCTCCAATATCTTCAAAACCACACTAAATCCCCAGCAGCTCTTGAAATTACAGAAAATTTCCAACAATTTTTTTAGAAATAACATCCATATATATATATATTTAAAAAATAACATTAAAAATTATTTTGAAGGACAACTTTTTGGGGGGAAACAAGCAAATAATAGTGTTCCCGGACCCCAATCATGAGGTCCGTGACGTAGACATATGCTGCCACTTGCCACTACAAATTAAGTTAAATAGTTAATGTTTTTCACTAGTTAAAAGGCCATAATCATAGCCTTATCTTATTATCGGCTCAATAAAAACCCAACACCTACAGCTATAAAAGTACTAGAACCAAAGCTCAATTTCCACGCAATAATCATACACTTTAATCCTCTCATCACAATCAAACCCTAATTTTATGTTTTTGAATGCGACACCCAAATCCACCCCACTCCACTGAATACATCTCTCCGCCGACCAAACCCTTTTCAAAGTACAAATAATTAATTGAGCTAACGCGATGAAATGTGGCCTTTCCTTGATGCACACGTGTATTGTCATTAAACTCAGCTCCAAGGGGTTGTTTGGTTGTAAGTTTTTATTATGTAAAAGGATGGAAAGTGTAAAAAAGTGGGTATCAATGTCAACTTTCATCATTTTCAATTGTTTGTTTATAGTTGTGAAAATAGTGTAAAGTGATTTACTATGCTGATGTGGCATGGATTCACAAATCCCTTGAAAACGATCTGTTTTTGAAGAAAAGTTGACATATGTGTTAGGAGTGAGGGGGCTAGGCCAATGGAATCATTTGAGTAGGGACCACACAATAACCACTTTTTACACTTTTCAAACAAACAATTAAAGTTACATTTTACAAACCAAACAAACAATTTATGATTCTAATGGAATAAAAAACAAACAAACAAAAAATTGCTCAGTGAAATTGATGGGGTGGACAACAACATTCCAAGTTGTGTCATAAATACACAAATTTACCAACAACAACCAAACAACCCCTAAATATATGAGAGATATCACCTCCATTTTACAGTTGATTACCGTAACTCTTATATATGTACTTGAGTACTTCAGAAGCGACACTACGTTATTAATCATTTATATATAACCAGTAATATATAGTACTTAGAACGGTTAGTTGAAAGATTCTGGGTTATGAGCTTTGGAAGAAAAAAATTGGATGGTCAGTTTCTAGGTTAAAAAATTTAATACAATAAGGTCAATTAATATATCGTGAGTTAATTTTTTTTAAAGAAAACCATAAATAGTAAACCATTTTTTCTCATAAATATATGAACATCATACTAAAATTTAGAAGTAAAACAGTACCACACACTATGACATAACGTGGGTGGATGTTATAATATATATAACTATTATTTAAGAAATTTATTTTCTCGGTGTTCTACTCTTCTATGAGTCACGGATTCAAATTGAAAAATGCCTCAGGCACCCCAAAATAGGGGACTCTGAGTCTGTCCCGTGATGCACTGTTCATGAACAGTGTATCACGGAACAGGGGGCGACACCTCACATGTCCCATTCAGGATTTCCTATTTTAGGGGTCCCTGTAGCAGCAATCGTTCAAATTATAAGATTGAAACATCTTCATAAATTTACACATAGTTTAAAAATCATTAAAAAAAACTCGAAAATTTCTACCATGTTAAAAAATTGTTTGTTTACACATAGTTTTAATTATTATAATTTTTTAACCTAAAGACGAATTATGTACGCACGCATGGCGGGCACGACGAATACTGGTAATCTATTCCTTTATACAAAAGGGAGAAACAAAGAATCACTGTTCATCAAACAGTAAATTGAACAGTACACGCACACACACTCAAAATTGATGCTTGGTATTAATGTATCTCATTTTCATCCACATATTTAATGGGGAACCACATTCTCATGGGTACACATGGATTATATAGATGAATGAGTGGATGAGAGGTGACTACCTCATTATCAAACACCAAATTTTATTTCAACATGGAATCCAAGCAAAAATTCTTGATCTAGATAATCCCGTTGGCGTTGCACTTGCCCACGTTAATTTTAGCATTGATTGTTGATAAGGCTGGACTTCTTTTCAACTAACTCTATGTCATTGTAGTTCGACCGACCCCCTAATCTTTAAGTCTAAACATTTCCTCCACGAATTATACATTTATACCAGCCACTGGCATATCTATCAACTATGGCATTATTTCTGGTGAGTAATGTGTTTGGAAAGAGAACCCCTATAATTGAGGTTATCCGTTGCTATTCCAAAATTGATGTTTAGCTAACAATTCAATTAAGCCTGACTAGTACTAAAAAAACAAGTCAATTAATCCTTTAAATCGAAAGCATAACTGTTAGTCAATCAGTGATTGGTTAGTAAGTTACCTAGAAGGAAATAGACCTACAACTATCTATTAATGACAGTTTTGCAAATTACTTGCAACTCCGTTTATGATGGGTGATTGAGTTGATTGAGTTGCCCAAGGAAATAGACCTACAACTATCTATTTATGTGTGTTGGGCTAACCGTTGCCACCATTAATGAAATGATTGCCAACTATTTCTGCTACCACAGAACAATATGTATGAATTTAATAATCTTATTTTATTTTGAGCAAACTATGGCCCAATTGGGGTGGATCACGCATACGTACGTACGTACATATATATATATAGAGAGAAAACTGTAGGAGCATTGGCCAGCTCTTGTATGCGTGCGCTGCCTAGGTGTTTCTGAAAAAACCAACACGATTTCAATACAAGAGCTGAGCTGGCCAGCGCTCTCTCTCTCTCACCCCAAGAACACCCAGATCCCCAAATCTCTCCCCAATCTCTCAGATCCCCAATCCTCCTCGATCGATCTCTCTCGGATCAGAATCCCTCTTCCTCCCCCTCTCGATCTCTCTCTGATCCCCATTCCCCCTCTCGATCTCAGTTCCCCATTCCTCCATGAGATCCAGTCCCCCGCCACGAGCTCCTCCTCCACCACGAGATCCAGTCCCCCGCTACTACCCGCCACAAGCTCCTCCTCCATGAGAATCCTCTCCGCCCCCTCTCTCTCACCCGATCTATCGGATGCTCTCCGCCGACGGACCGAGCAGCGCACTCCGATCCTTCATCTTCATCATCTCGAAGTCATAGCTGCATTTACGCCGCTCAAACTCAAGTTCTCGCCTTTTCAGGTAATTATTCGATATATTATATTTTAGGTCTCCTGATTCTGTGATTTTAATAATGAAAGAGGAATTAATGAAATCCTATACACGAGATCTTTTGATTGGAATCAGTAACAAAGAGTGTCAATTTTGTAACATATATTCCTCATGATGAGCTAGAAACAATTGCAGTTGAGCTCAAATTGATTTTGGTTCTACATCAATGTTTTTTTTTAAATTTTGAATATACATGAGATTCGTAGCTGGTTATTTATGTGTTGTGATGACTTTGAGCAGTTCATATATGTTACATTATCGCCTCTCAGTTCATATATGTTACATTTATGCGTCGCTGCAAGCAGTTCATATACATTATCGCCTCTCAGTTTCTTTTTTTTTTAACTTATCCAAGTTGGTTGAAATGTAAGTATAGCTTGCAACGATGACTGACCTACTTAATAACATGTCAGAATGCAGCAAGACTCACTGATGGTCAAAGTTGTCAAACAATTTAAACAAAGCTCTTGTTTAGTTTAAACTGAAGAGCAAGACTCACTGATGGTCAAAGTTGTCAAACAATTTAAACAAAGCTCTTGTTTAGTTTAAACTGAAGTATTTATTTGGGTATTTTATAGTTGTTTCTTGATGAATCCATGCTATGTTATTACTCTTATAGCTTTTTATTCATTTTTTCTTCTTTGCATTTGTTTTACAGCAAATAAAGTGTTCGAAATGGCCAGTTCTTGTGCTAGTGGAAGTGAAATTCCTGCCAATACAGAAAATGCTCCTAAGCCACTACCCGGAATGAAGTTTAATACATATGAAGACGCTTATAACTATTATAATTATTACGTATTGTTGAGGGGTTTTGGAATAAGGAAGAGCACGGTAAATTATTCGAAGAAGACAAGAGACATGCTAGACAGAAAGTTTGTTTGTGATAAGGAGGGCTATAGATCTAATAGAGACAAGATGGAGATGCCTTTTTGGCGAGAGACCCGAGTGGGGTGTAAGGCAATGATGAGAGTTAAAGTATTAGAGGACAAATCGTGGGAGGTCACGGGGTTTGTTGAAGAACATACAAATTATGTGTTGAGTAGTCCAGACAAAGTAAAAATGCACAGATCACACCAACAATTCCATAAAACTCAAAGTTGTAAAAAACTTATTGAGAGTCTGCAAGAAGAAGGTATGCCTCCATCCACTATTTCTCGCATCATTAATACAACCAGTGGAAGAGAAGGTGAATTAGTGACACCACAACAATGTATTGATCACATCAGATACCAGAGAGTCAACAATATTGGCCATGAATGCATATCTATCATTCGACATTGTATTGATCACATCAGATACCAGAGAGTCAACAATATTGGCCATGAATGCATATCTATCATTCGACATTTTCAGAGTATGACAGCGAATGATCCAGAATTCTATTTGCAATAGAAGTAGACAGTAGTGGACAAATGAGGAGTGTTTTCTGGGCTGATGGAAGATCAAGAGCTTCTTATTTGCAATTCAGTAATGTTGTTGTGTTTGATGTGACATACAGAACTAATAAGTTCAGTCTTCCATTTGCTCCATTTACTGGTGTGAATCATCACAGGCAGTCCACTTTGCTTGGTTGTGCATTATTAGCTGATGAACAAGAAGATACCTTCGTGTGGTTATTTCAAGAATGGCTTAAATGTATACATAGGGTTGAACCGGGTGCTATTATAACAGATCAGGATAGAGCCATATGTAATGCTATTCACTCTGTGTTTCCAATGACAAGACACTGTTATTGCTTTTGGCACATGCAAAAGCACATTAGTGATTATTTGCCTACTTTGGGTTCTTGTTATGGTGAAGAGTTTCAAAGGTATTGGGGCTTATGGTGTAATAGTTCTTCAATTGAACAGTGTGAAGGACATTGGTTAGAGATGAAGGAGAAGTTTGATATAAATGAAGATGTGGATGGATGGTTGCAAACTGTTTACAAATATAGAGAACATTGGGTGTCATGTTATTTGAAGGACACTTTTTTTGCTGGAATGAGATCGAGCCAAAGAAGTAAAAGCATTAATGCATTTTTTGATGGGTATGTTAACTCACAGACTCAATTACACGAGTTTGTTCTACAATATGAAAAAGCATTAACTCATCATCGCTTAAGTGAAGCCCATAAAGATTTTAAGAGTCTTAACACAAAGCCTGTCATGCTCCTTGGACATCCGATTGAGGTCCAAGCTGGAGAAATGTATACACGCAACATGTTTGATGTGTTCCAAACTGAATTCAAATGATTTGGTACAGAGTTTTGTGAAGAATTGAGAAAAGATGGGACATTGTTGAATACAAGATTTGTAAGTTTACAGATAGAGGAAAATGGGAGGTGGTTACTTATGAACAATCCAGTAAGATGCAGTTCATTTGTACTTGTGCTTTGTTTGAAACTAATGGTGTTGTATGTAGACATATATTGTCGCTAATGATGGCTAGGCAAATTTCTTTATTACCCGAGCATTACATCCTACACCGTTGGACTATACATGCTCGACATCATAACATTGGGGTTGGCAATATTGTGTTTGGAAGAAACATCACAAGCTGTGAAGAGAAGATTAATTTGTTGAAACCTTGGGCTTTAAGAGCAAAATTCAATAATGCGCTCAAGCTTGCATTTGATTCAGAAGAGAGGATGCAGAAATTAGATAATGTGCTAACAAATTTCGTAGAATCACATGAAGAAGAAGTTAGAGAAACAGAAGATAATCCTGAGATTTTCGCACCCATTTCACATACACTGGAGCACATTCCTCAGATTACAGTTCGTGATCCTGAAAAATCTGCAAGGACTAAAGGTCGTCCACGCAATGCTACTAGAATTTAGTCAGGCTTAGAACAAGCACAGGAAAATAAAGAGAGGAAGAAGCGTATATGTAGCAGATGTGGTGAACTCGGGCATTATAGAACTAGTTGTAAAGTCAACTTGCCAAGGTACAATTAAATTTTTTTTTCATATGTAGCTTATTTCATAATTTCTTGTATGTTTAGTTTAGTTGTTTTGAAGTCATATGAAGAATTCAGATTAGATTAAAGCATGTATTCTTGGGTATTCTCACTTCTCAGGTTACTCTGCGTTAGTTCAGCTTCATTGAGCTCCTTAAATACAATAATTATTAATTCTAACCTTTTTGTTTGCTGCACCTAAATTAACAAAGAAACTTGTTAGCGGGGGATTTTCTGCTATTTATTCTAGTGTCCAGCTTGTGTCCAGCTTGTGTCCAGCTTGTATCAAAGTCCAGCTTGTCCTATATCATGCACATTGTTGTGCCTCGAGAAACCAAACCAATCGCCGAGCAAGATAAAGAACCAATCAAAATCAATAGCACAAACAATCAAACACCAGTTTTACGTGGTTCGGCAAGATGCCTATGTCCACGGGGCAAGGAGGGGGAAGTTTTCACTATTAGAAATCAAGAGGATACAACTAGGGTTACAAATCTCTCACCAAAACCCTCAACAAATCACTCTTGATCTCTCCCAATTGCCCTAGAATAGAAACCCAAAGAAAACCCTCTCAATCTGCTCAAAACTCCTGCCTTGCATACCCTAAAAAACACCCAAAGGGTATTTATACAAATCCAAAACGAAACGGGTCTGGAAACTGAACCCAGCCAAAACCGCTTCGGCGGTCGACCGCGGCGGTCTCGCAGTCGACCGCGGCGGTCG